CCCCCCCCCCACCATTGCCCGGAGCTTCCCCACCTGTGTTCCGCTGTTGTCACTGCTCTCCCCCTTAATACTGCCTGGGAGACACCACCTGCGGTTGTTATTCCTGGGAGACCCCGTTTCTGCCTGTCAAGACCCTCTCCTATTATAAGGCTTCCCATCCGCCCTATGCTCAGATCTAGTGACCCTCTTTCTCCCTCACGTGAGATGAAAGCCGAGGTTTCAAGAAAGAAATCCAGGGCCTTTATAAATACACCCGCTTCTCTTGACTCTCCCTGAAATCCGTTCAGGGGATATATCCACTTGGGACCGAAGCTCTCAGAGATGAATTCGGATGTTGTTTGTTTGGGGAAAGGAACTGGGTTACAGCGCCGAACAAGGACCCTGACCCTGAAGTTCGGGGGAAGAGGGTGAGCCTGAGGCCTGGATTCTCCGTATCTGAGTCAAAGGCTTCAGTGGTTGCGGATTGCAGTTTTCTTCCGGCCTTAAGGCCCAGGGTGACGTGAGCGTCTGGAGGTCCTCGCTCCTCGGCGCGGACAAGGCTCCAGGCCGGGTCAGGCTGCAGCTGGGCCGGTTCGGGGCTCGCTGCCGAGAACGCAGCGACCGGGGGTAACCGGTGGGCCAGCCTGGGCCTAGCAGGGTGCGAGTCATTCTGGGCTCCAGGGTCGGAGGAGAGTGCGGGGGACGCTGCATCTGCCCGGAGCACCGAGCCAAACTCGCAGGCAGGAGAGCGAGGCCGCGGGGCTGAGCTGCAGCCGAGACCGCTGGAGAGCAGCCAGGGTCGAGCCGCGGGGCCTCCTCGGCTTTGGGACTCATAACGATTGGGGCTATTTTGCAGGAGCATATTTTCGTTTTCATTTGGGAGATTTCGATGCTTTGGTTAAAAAAAAATTCGTTCGCTGCCAAATAAGAAAAGTCAACTTGGTTGTCTAAGCGTGGTGCGGGGGGCCGAGCGAGCAGGGAGCCGCGAGCGGCGGGCTCGGCGCTGGTGTGTGCTGTCGGGTGCCCCTCCCGCCCACCCGCGCGCCCTCCGGCCAGCCGGCTGCCCTACCTCCCGGACTTGGTGATGACCATCTCGGTGCCCAGCTTGTGGAACTGGTCCCACAGCTCCTTGGCCTCCAGCGTCACCTTGGGGTCGTCCTCCACCTCGTCCTCGGGCTCCAGGCTCTTAAGCGAGCGCAGATGCGCAGCGGGCGGATGCGGGCCGAGTGCCGAGACGTGCAGCCCCGCCTCGGCCGCCGCCGCCGCCGCCGCAGCCGCCGCCGCCGCCGCCCCCGCCAAGCCGGGGGCGGGCAGAGGCTTGGCCAGCGCGCCGGGCGGCAGTGCGAGCGCCGGGAAGAAGGAGGGCTGCGCCGCCGCCAGAAAGGCGGACATGGGGAAGTCGGCCGGCCGTGGCGCGTGAAACGGGTGGGGGGGCCGGGGCCGGGGGCGCGCGGCTCGGACCCCCGGCCCGGGCGGCGGCGCGCGCGGAGGAAGGGCGACCCGGGTGGCAAGCGCGGTGGCAGCTCCTCCCGGTTCCCCGTCCGGCGCACGGCGAGGGACGCGGGGCTCTGGGCGCGGGGGCGGCAGGGGCTCTGCGCGGGGCTGGGCTGGGCTGGCCCGCTCCGGCGCCGGGGACCACGCGCGACTGGTTAGATCTTGTCGTGATCTCTGGAAAACTGTGACTATCTCACATGTCCTGCCCTGCTCGGATCCCCTGCGCTAACGAGCCAGGCCCCCCTTGATTGCTGATTTTACGCTTTTTGGACCAATTGTGGGTCTCCGGGGGCGGGGTTTTGACAGCTCAGGCCAAGCTCCGGCCGGGAGGGGGGGCCGGGGAGAAGGTGTCGGAAGCCTCAGCAGTAAGAAAACATGTCAACAGAATAAAATATTAACCAATGACGGGCCAGCGAGCCCCGAGACCCCTCCCCCTGCCCCGGCCCCCACCCCGCCGCCCGCGCCCGCGGTTGCCTGCGCCCGGACAGGAAAGCGCGGCGGGCCGACTCGACTTGCCGAAAGGGCCTGAGGCGGGGGG